ACCCCCAAACCCCTGCCCCCCACCCGTGCCAGTGCCCCTCATCCCGCCCCACAGCCCCCGCCGGCCCAGCCCTGCCAGTGCCCCTCACTCCCGCCCCACAGCCCCTGCTAATCCAGCCCTGCCCCCCCGCCCAGCCAGTGCCCCTCACTCCCGCCCCACAGCCCCTGCCAGTCCAACCCTGGGCTCCCCCAGCCCTGCCGGTGCCCCTCACTCCTGCCCCACTGCTCCTGCCAGCCCAGCCCTGCCCCCAGCCCTCCCGGCGTCCCTCAATCCCCACCTACAGCCTCCTACAGCCCTGCCAGTGCCCCTCACACCCGCCCTGCAGCCCCTTTGCACTCACCAGCTTCTGCACAAATTGTCCATATTCCCTCTTGGAAGCTTCTACTGCTCTTCTGTTTTCCTCCACCATCTGTGGGGAGGAGGGGGCAGGACGGGGGTGGGGACTGGATCATCTCTTTCCTGGGGGTCCCCGTATCTCCTGGGGACTACCGAGGCAGGGCCCGATCTGGGGAGCTGTTGTGATGCCTCTCGTGGCCTTGTGCCATCAGCCACTGGCAGGTGGAGCAGGTGACAATGAGCTGCAGCTGCTGGACTGGGATTTCTCACCTGCTGGACACCAGAAGAACCAAAATATTACAGGGTGATGTGCTGGTAACCTCTCCCCTGCATGATGCTGAACCACGACTGTTTCAAGAAAAAAAGAAGAAAAGTCCACTCCTCTGACAGAGGAGAAGCTGAGAAGAAGTGCGCCCGACGAGAAGCTGAGGAGAAGCGCGCCCGACGAGAAGCTGAGGAGAAGCGCGCCTGACGAGAAGCTGAGGAGAAGCGCGCCTGACGAGAAGCTGAGGAGAAGCGCGCCTGACGAGAAGCTGAGGAGAAGCGCGCCTGACGAGAAGCTGAGGAGAAGCGCGCCTGACGAGAAGCTGAGGAGAAGCGCGCCTGACGAGAAGCTGAGGAGAAGCGCGCCTGACGAGAAGCTGAGGAGAAGCGCGCCTGACGAGAAGCTGAGGAGAAGCGCGCCTGACGAGAAGCTGAGGAGAAGCGCGCCTGACGAGAAGCTGAGGAGAAGCGCGCCTGACGAGAAGCTGAGGAGAAGCGCGCCTGACGAGAAGCTGAGGAGAAGCGCGCCTGACGAGAAGCTGAGGAGAAGCGCGCCTGACGAGAAGCTGAGGAGAAGCGCGCCTGACGAGAAGCTGAGGAGAAGCGCGCCTGACGAGAAGCTGAGGAGAAGCGCGCCTGACGAGAAGCTGAGGAGAAGCGCGCCTGACGAGAAGCTGAGGAGAAGCGCGCCTGACGAGAAGCTGAGGAGAAGCGCGCCTGACGAGAAGCTGAGGAGAAGCGCGCCTGACGAGAAGCTGAGGAGAAGCGCGCCTGACGAGAAGCTGAGGAGAAGCGCGCCTGACGAGAAGCTGAGGAGAAGCGCGCCTGACGAGAAGCTGAGGAGAAGCGCGCCTGACGAGAAGCTGAGGAGAAGCGCGCCTGACGAGAAGCTGAGGAGAAGCGCGCCTGACGAGAAGCTGAGGAGAAGCGCGCCTGACGAGAAGCTGAGGAGAAGCGCGCCTGACGAGAAGCTGAGGAGAAGCGCGCCTGACGAGAAGCTGAGGAGAAGCGCGCCTGACGAGAAGCTGAGGAGAAGCGCGCCTGACGAGAAGCTGAGGAGAAGCGCGCCTGACGAGAAGCTGAGGAGAAGCGCGCCTGACGAGAAGCTGAGGAGAAGCGCGCCTGACGAGAAGCTGAGGAGAAGCGCGCCTGACGAGAAGCTGAGGAGAAGCGCGCCTGACGAGAAGCTGAGGAGAAGCGCGCCTGACGAGAAGCTGAGGAGAAGCGCGCCTGACGAGAAGCTGAGGAGAAGCGCGCCTGACGAGAAGCTGAGGAGAAGCGCGCCTGACGAGAAGCTGAGGAGAAGCGCGCCTGACGAGAAGCTGAGGAGAAGCGCGCCTGACGAGAAGCTGAGGAGAAGCGCGCCTGACGAGAAGCTGAGGAGAAGCGCGCCTGACGAGAAGCTGAGGAGAAGCGCGCCTGACGAGAAGCTGAGGAGAAGCGCGCCTGACGAGAAGCTGAGGAGAAGCGCGCCTGACGAGAAGCTGAGGAGAAGCGCGCCTGACGAGAAGCTGAGGAGAAGCGCGCCTGACGAGAAGCTGAGGAGAAGCGCGCCTGACGAGAAGCTGAGGAGAAGCGCGCCTGACGAGAAGCTGAGGAGAAGCGCGCCTAACGAGAAGCTGAGGAGAAGCGCGCCCAATGCAAATCCAGGAGGACTGGAATCCTCAGAGACAGTTGGTGGTTCCTACTAAGTACCGGGAAAAGCTCTTAAACTTAGCCCTCGATCACCCTAGTGGCCATGCTGGGGGGAGCCAAACAAAGGGCCGGTTGAGAAGGTCCTTCAATTGGGATGGGACGGGAAAGGATGTTGCTGGCTACGTGCGTATCTGTACGGTGTGCCAACAGATGGGAAAGCCTTGAGACAAGGCCAAGGCAACACTTCAAGCCCTCCCCATCATAGAGGTCCAGTTCCAGCATGTAGCTATGATATTATGGGTCCTTTCCCTAAGGAAACCCCCAGAGGGAAGCAATTCATACTGACCCTCAGGATTTTTCCACCTGAAGGCCTAAAGCAGCGGCTTGGGGAAGCAATATAGACAGGAACGTGTCCCAGATATTAACAGATATTTTGGTGTCCAAGCTCCCCAAACTCCCTTTGGTTGACCCTCAGAAATCACACACGTCACCCTCGGAACTGCCCAATGCAATCAGCAGCGCTAGACAGAAGAGGGGGCTAGATTTGATGACTCCCCTCATCCTAGTCCAGTCAGCTCCCCATTTGAAAAGCATATCACCTAGGTTTTTCTTCGTACACAGAGGCAGCAGCCGAATGCAGCCCTGATCTCAGGTGGGACCTGCAGCCCTTGTTGGAATACAGACACATGAATAGGAACAAGATAATAATGAACAATACCACCCCGGGCTCCGCAAAATGACATCATTGTAGGGCGGGAACGGAATTCATCTGCTTCCACTGCCCATCACTCAACTAGCCCTGGGATGAGCACAGTCAGGACTTGGTTAGCAGTTTATTCTTTGCTTTCCTAAGGGCGCCCTTCACCTCCCTGTTCCTCAGGCTGTAGATGAGGGGGTTCAACATGGGGATCACTGCTGTGTAAAACACGGAGGCTATTTTATCGGTGTCTAAGGAATAGCCAGAGATGGGATGGAAACAGACGTAGAGTTGGGTGCCATGAAACATGCCCACCGCGCACAAGTGGGAAGCGCAGGTGGAGAAGGCTTTGTACCGGCCCTCGGCAGAGCGGATGCGCAGGATGGTGGAGAAGATACAGACATAGGAGAGGAGGATGGTCGCAGCGCTGCTCACTAAGATGTAGCACGTGGACGCAAATAACAGAATCTCACTGGTGCGGGTGTCAGAGCACGAGAGGAGCAGAAGTGGGACGGAGTCACAGTAGTAATGCTGGATGATGTTGGAACGGCAGAACGACAGCCGGAATATAGAACACGTCAGTGTCAGTGAATCCGCCAATCCCACAGAGCACACCCCAGCCACCAGCTGGTTACAGCGCTGTCTGGACATGATGACCGTATAGAGCAGTGGGTTACAGATGGCCACGTAACGGTCGTATGCCATCACGGCCAGCAAGAGACACGCAGTATCTGCACAATGAAAAAATAAATACATTTGCACAGCGCAGGCAGTGCGAGAAATGTTTTTCCTTTCGGCTAAGAAAAAATGCAGCATCTCAGGGACAATCACTGAGGAACAGCAGAGATCAGAGAAAGACAAAGTCCGGAGGAAAAAGTACATGGGGGTGTGAAGTCGAGAGTCAATTGTGATTAACAAGATCATCCCCCCATTTCCCACCAGGGTGATAACATAAATCAGTAGGAACAACACAAATAGTGGGAGCTGCAACTCCGGACGATCTGTCAGTCCTGAGAGAATAAACTCGGTCGCCTCCGAGCGATTTCCCTCTTCCATCTCCTCTGAGCTGAGACCAGGCAGGTCCAGGGATGTGGGCAGGTGGATGGTTTTGGGAACGTGTCCTTTCACTGTTATGAAGTAAGAGATGAAAAGTGGAAGTCAGATTTTTCATAGGTAGCAGTACGAGACCAGGAAAGGGCTTAGTTTGCAGAGCCAGATGTTCACAGCTGGACTTTGCACTTGTTTGATCGATTTCACACACCGTACACATACAAGGGCACACAGCTTAGACATCACCCCACACACAAACACTCCTGTTCTCTAGTCTGAGCAGCAAACAGCGACTTGTAACTTTGTTGCGGGAGAATGAGGGTGAAACCATCTGTGTCTAACGAGATCATTGCTTAGCTCATGAAGGGCTGAGAGTAAACGAGTGTCAGTCTCTCCACTCTCCTTGGGCAAAGGGAGCTCTGTGGCTTGGCGTGTCACTTGGGCTGAAACTTGCTCTCTGTGATAATGAAGCTCTTTGGCATCTGATAACGGCATTTACATTACTTTGTATAAAACCCCTGAGATGTAAAGACAGGAAGGCACTGGCTTCTGTACCTAAATAATCACCTATTTCTTCAAACAAATTTCTAATCCCTTAACTCAATAGGCAGGAGCTGGGTCTTCTGCCAGAGACACTGGCCATGTGGGTGTGTGACTCTGACCCAGGATAATAGCACGTACCTGCAAACAGCAGAGAGAGACGTGGCGGCGTTCCTTCATCGACAGAAACTGACACGTTGGTGCAATTGGGAGGTTTTATTCTGAGATCTGTGATCTATGGGACAAGATCCCTGGAGCCACTGGGAATACCTGAGTGCAGAGAGACACAACAACAAATTAATGAGCTCAGTGAATCTCATCTTTGGGGTTAATTTGGTGCCTTTTTTCCTCCTGCGGCAATAAGGGATGCAATTTGTATCAGGGTTGCAGAGTCCAAGCCTGAGGGATATTTCATTCTGCTCTTGTCACTGCAAGCTGGGTCCTGTGTAGAGCTGACCCAGAAAGGGTGTTTGGTGAGACCCCAATTTTTTAGCTGAAAACGTAACATTTCAACTTAGAAACAAAACACACGGAGGTGTCCCAGGTACCACATCCCCCCTTTTCTGCCATGGGCCAGGCTTCCAGGCTGGAATCCATCCCTCTGATGCATGATGGTCTGTCCTCCTGCCATACTGGCCTGGGACATCACTAGAGTTCCTGTTCTTACCACACTATGTGATTTGCTGTGGTGGTGGGAAAGAATTCCATGGAAATCGAATTGAAATGAAAATCCAACTTCGCACTTAAAAAAAATCTTATAAAGAAAAAATTTCCAGCCGGCCTGCGCGGTTTGGAAAGAAAAGAAGAAAATAGTCCGTCTCTAGATGTGGTCGGACTGACTTCCCGTTTGCCAGGGGCAAGGACCTGTGCTTCAGACTGTGCATGATGGCGGAGATTTGAGGTAGCGTGATGGGATGGATCTAACGTGAGCGTCCCCTGGTGATGGGGTGGAACTAGCTCGACGCTCTCTACTGGACATCTATGGCCTTGCCACACCCTTCCTGACAGGAACGAGCAAAGAGATTCCTGCAGGCAAGTAGAGAGGCTACTTTAACTGCAGCCAATCAGGGTTTTCTCTCAAAATAACCGCATCTACACAGCGTCTGTTAATTCGAAATACCACTAACTCGAAAAAGCGCCATAATGTAATTATGCAAATGAGGCGTGGGATATTTAAATCCTGACTTCATTTGCAATTTTGAATTGCTGCATTTGCCTCTCTATTTCGAAATAGGGTGCAAGTGTAGACATACGCTTAATCTGAATTTGGTAAACCAAATTCGTGGAACTAGGTGTACCGGTAGTTCGAATTAGAAAGCCTAATTCGAACTACCTACTCCGTGCCGCGTGTAGCCGCGGGCATGGAGTCCTCACTAACAGGGATTTAAAAATGGCAGTGCCTGGCAAGATGCAAATGAAGCCCGGGATATTTAAATCCCAGGCTTCATTTGCAACTTCGATTGACCACATTAACCACTCTAGTTCGAACTAGGGTGGTAGTGTAGACATACCCTCAGTGTTCCTCACGGTGGAAGCCCTCCTGCAGGGCCTCCTGGATACTGACACCCTTTCCCCCCCGCCCCCGATGGACCTCCCAGATGGCAGCCTGCAGAAAATGCATCCAGGCTCACAGCAACGCATCCAAGAGTAGCTCCAGAGTGCCCAGGGGCAGCTCTGGCTCCGTGTTGCAGAGTGCTGTGGTGTCCCGAGTGAGGGCAACCAGAGCACACAGAGACAAAATGCTTTGCTGTCCCTCAGCAAGGTAGGCAAGCAAGGAGGGAAACCTGAGACCTGACTGTCCGGGGGAGATCCCTTTAAGCACAGGCCTCAGATAGCCTCAGGCAGCAGCCACAGTAACTCCTGACCTATTGCCCTGCCACACCAGGTTCTGGCTGGCCTTAAAGGTGATTCAGCATCCACTCAGTGTGGAAGCGCTATTTTGAAATACCAAAACGCTATTTCGAAATGCATTTTGTGTGTAGACGCGTTATTTCAAAATAAGTTATTTCAAATTAACTATTTGCTGTAGTGTAGACATATCCAAAGAGTCCAATGTCCAGTGAAGCAACTCCTGCCAGACCTGAGAAACTCACTACACCTAATGTGTAGCTGGGATGGGTATTAATCTGCAAAGAAAAGTGTGGAAGGTCTCAGAGGGTATGTCTACACTACCCCGCTAGTTCGAACTAGCGGGGTAGTGTAGACATACCCTCTGAGACCTTCCACACTTTTCTTTGCAGATTAATACCCATCCCAGCTACACATTAGGTGTAGTGAGTTTCTCAGGTCTGGCAGGAGTTGCTTCACTGGACATTGGACTCTTTGGATATGTCTACACTACAGCAAATAGTTAATTTGAAATAACTTATTTTGAAATAACGCGTCTACACACAAAATGCATTTCGAAATAGCGTTTTGGTATTTCAAAATAGCGCTTCCACACTGAGTGGATGCTGAGTCCATTTTTTAATAGGTAGCAGTATGAGATCGGGGAAGAGCTTAGTTCACAGAGCCAGATGTTCACAGCTGGACTTTGCATTTGATTGATCAATTTCACACACCGTAGACATACGAGGACATACAGCTCAATCATTCCCCACACACAAACACTCCTGTTCTCTAGTCTGAGCAGCAAACAGCAATTTTCTCACTATGTTGTGGGAGAATGAGGGTGAACCCATCTGTGTCTAACGAGGTTATTGCTTAGCTCATGAAGGACTGAGAGTAAACGAGTGTTAATCTCTCTGCTCTCCTTGGGCAAGGGAAGCTCTGTGGTTCAGCTTGTCGGTTTGGGGTGAAACTTGCTCTCTGTGATAATGAAGCTCTTTGCCATCTGATAACAGCATGTACATTACTTTGTATAAAACTCCTGAGACGTAAAGACAGGAAGGCACTGGCTTTTGTAACTAACTAATGGCCTATTTTTTCTAAGCCCATTTCTAATCCCTTAACTCAATAGACAGGAGCTGGGATTACTGTCAGAGACACTGTCTGTGTGGGTGTGTGACTCTGATGCAGGACAACAGCACGTACCTGCGGACAGCAGAGAGAGACATGTCGGCGTTTCTCCATCGATAGAAACGGACACATTTTTGGACTTGGGAGGTTTTATTCTGAGATCCGTGGTCCATGGGATAAGATCCCTGGAGCCACTGGAAATACCTGAGCTCAGAGAGACACAACAACAAATTGATGAGCTCAGTGAATCTCATCCATGGGACTGATACCCTGGGGGTTAATCTGGTGCCTTTTTTCCACCTGCAGCAGTACGTGATGCAATTTGTATCAGGGTTGCAGAGTCTAAGGGTGAGGGATATTTCATTCTGCTCTTGTCACTGCAAGCTGGGTCCTGTGTAGAGCTGACCCAGAAAGGGTGTTTGGTGAGACCAACATCTTTCAGCTGAAAACTTTACATTTCAACTCCAACAAAACACACAGGGATGCCCCAGGTATCCCATCCCACCTTCTCTGCCATAGGCCGGGCTTCCAGGCTGGAATCCATCCCTCTGATGCATGATGGTCTGTCCTCCTGCCATCCTGCCCTGAGACATCACTAGAGTTCCAGTTCTTATCAAACTCTGACCGTTGGATATTCTGATGTGATAGAATCATGAAGTCATAGAATACTAGGAGTGGAAGAGACCTCGAGAAGTCATCAAGTCCAGTCCCCTGCCCTCACGGCAGGGCCAAATACTGTCTAGACCATCCCTGAAAGATATTTATCTAACCTGCTCTTAAATACTTCAAGAGGTAGAGACTCCACAACCTCCCTGAGCAATTTATTCCAGTGTTTCACCACCCTGACAGTTAGGAACTTTTTCCTAATGTCCAACCTAAACCTCCCTTGCTGCCGTTTAAGCCCATTGCTTCTTCTTCTATCCTCAGAGGCCAAGATGAACAAGTTTTCTCCCTCCTCCTTATGACACCCTTTTAGATACCTGAAAACTGCCCAGTTCTTTCAGCCTTCCCTCATAGCTCATGTTCTCTAGACCTTTAATCATTCTTGTAGCTCTTCTCTGGACCCTCTCCAGTTTCTCCACATCTTTCTTGAAATGCGGTGCCCAGAACTGGACACAATACTCCAATTGAGGCCTAATCAGAGCAGAGTAGAGTGGAAAAATGACTTCTCATGTCTTGCTCACAACAGACCTATTAATGCATCCCAGAATCATGTTTGCTTTTTTTGCAACAGCGTCATACTATTGACTCATATTTAGATCGTGGTCCACTCTGACTCCTAGATCGCTTTCTGCAGGACTCCTTCCTAGACAGTCGCTTCCCATTCTGTGTGTGAGACACAGACTGTTCCTTCCTAAGTAGAGCACTTTGCATTTCTCCTTGTTAAACTTCATCCTGTTTACCTCAGACCGTTTCTCAAATTTGTCCAGATCATTTTGCATTATGACCCTATCCTCCAGAGCAGTTGCAACCCCTCTGAGGTTGGTAGCATCTGAAACTTAATAAACATACTTTCCATGCCAATATCTAAATCTTTGATGAAGATATTGAACAGAGCCGGTCCGAAAACAGACCCCTACGGAACCCCACTTGTTATAACTTTCCAGCAGGATTGAGACCTATTAATAACGTCTCTGAGTATGGTTATCCAGCCAGTTATGCACCCACCTTATAGTAGCCCCATCTAAGTTGTATTTGCCTAGTTTATTGATAAGAATATCATGCCAGACTGTATCAAATGCCTTACTAAAGTCTAGGTATACCACATCCACCGCTTCTCCCTTATCCACAAGACCCATTATCCTATCAAAGAAAGCTATCAGATTGGTTTGACGTGATTTGTTCTTTACAAATCCATGCTGGCTGTTCCCTATCACCTTACCATCTTCCAAGTGTTTGCAAATGATTTCCTTAATTTCTTGCTTCATCATCTTTCCTGGCATAGAAGTTAAACTAACTGGTCTGTAGTTTCCTGGGTTGTTCTTACTTCCCTTTTTATAGATGGGCATTAGATTTGCCCTTTTCCAGTCTTCAGGAATCTCCTGTCTCCCATGATTTTCCAAAGATGATAGTTAAAGTTTCAGATACCTCCTCTATCAGTTCCTTGTGTATTCTAGGATGCATTTCATCAGGCCTTGGTGACTTGCAGGCATCTAACTTTTCTAAGTGATTTTTAACTTGTTCCTCTTTTACTTTATCTTCTAAACCTCCCCCCTTTCCACTAGCATTCACTATATTAGGCATTCCTTCATCAGACTTCTCTGTGAAGACTGAAACAAAGAAGTCATTAAGCATCTCTGCCATTTCCAAGTTTCCTGTTACTATTTCTCCCTCCTGTCTGAGCAGTGGGCCTACCCTGTCCTTGGTCTTCCTTTTGCTTCTAATATATTTATAGAATGTCTTCCTGTTTCCCTTTATTCCTGTAGCTAGTTTGAGCTCATTTCGTGCCTTTGCCTTTCTAATCTTGCCCCTGCATTCCTTTGTTGTTTGCTTATAGTCATCCTCTGTAATTTGTCCTAGTTTCCATTTTTTATATGACTCCTTTTTTATTTTTGGATCATGCAAGATCTCGTGGTTAAGATAAGGCTGTTTTTTGACATATTTTCCTACCCAGCGGAATAGGAAACTAGACGTGCTTTTCCTCAAAAAAGCCTCGATCGTCATATTCGTGATCAGGGCTTTTTTGCAGAAAACACTACTGTGCTGTCTACACTGGCCCTTTTCTGGAACAGTTTTCCGGAAAAAGACTTTTGCCCAAACGGGAGCAGCATAGTTTTTCCGGAAAAGCACAGATGATTTTAAATGAGATCGTCAGTGCATTTCCGGAAATTCAAGTGGCCAGTATAGACAGCTGGCAAGTTTTTCCAGAAAAGTGGCTGATTTTCCGGAATAACTTGCCAGTGTAGACACAGCCCATGTGTAGTCAGCCTTCAAAAAGCCCGGTGTGACGGAACCATGATGGAGCTCTGGCCAGGTCCCAATAACATGCTCAAACGTGAAAGCAAATTGTCCAAGCCAAACAATAGTTGGTTTGCCTTGGGATGATGGCAGGCCACCAGCCAGTTGGATCAAAGCTGAACGCTGCTAAATACAAAGCTGGAACCCGTCTGGCTCTCCCGTGTGTTGCTAAGGTTCAAAGAGATATTTGATTTAAAGTTTAGACTCTATGAATTGTGGTTAAGTTGCTGTCGTCATTAATATCACTCCTAGCATCTGCAGTCCCACTGGTGGGGAAGGCAAAGAGGGTACCTTCCCCGGGTCCTGGCTATTCAAAAAGTCCTTGAGCTCCCAGATCCCAGGTTATATGGAACAGAAAAGAAAAAGGTATCTGTCAATAGTAGGACTGGTACTAGTGAAGCTAATTAAGTGGGCTGGAAGTGCCTCTGGATAGTCTGACTGATCAGAAGTAACCGTATTGCTGAGATTCCTTCCTTCAGACAATTCCTCCATTCTTCAAGGAATATCCTCATGGAACAAGGGAAGGGAAAATACAGTTGCAAACCCACATTTTACTTTTTAAAACAATTTGTACTGACGGTGCAGAGAAGGACAGGGGGGCCCAGGAGTGAAGAACCTATTTCCCTTTCCTCTGAGCATCAGCAAACACTGACACATCATATAGGTTCTGTAATATTATCAAGAGACTCCAACATCCCCAGTCTGTTAAGCCACGGGTACCAAGCAATAGAAAGGGCTTTGAAATGCAAAGCTCTACTCATCCCTGACATCACTGTCCCATTGCCCTAGCACGGTGTGGTGGAAATCACCTCCCTCCTCCTCATGCCAGGACACAAAGCAGGAAACAATTGGTACAGGAACTCCACAGAGCACAGAAAGGGCTACAGAGTAGCAGGAAGGTGCGAAAACCTTCTTTGGTTCACCCATAGATTTCAGACACGTCACCCTTGTTGAGCCCAATGGGATCAACAGCGCTAGAAAGAAGAGGGGGCTAGATTTGATGCCCCCCCATTCAAGTTCAGACAGCTCTCCGTTTTATAAGCACATCACCTAGATTTTTATTTGCACACAGAGGCAGTAGCCGGATGCAGCCCTGATCTCAGGAGGGACCTGCAGCCCTTGTTGGAATACAGACACATGTATAGTAACAAGATAATAATGCAAAAAGACATCATTGTAGGGTGGAAACTGAATTCAACTGTTTCCACTGTCCATAACTCAACCAGCACTGTGATGAACACAATCAGGACTTGATTAGCAGTTTATTCCTTACTTTCCTCAGGGCGTCTTTCACCTCCCTGTTCCTCAGGCTGTAGACGAGGGGATTCAACATGGGGATCACTGCTGTGTAAAACACGGAAGCTATTTTATCCACATCTATGGAATAGCTGGAGCTGGGATGGAAATAGATGAAGAGTTGGGTGCCGTGAAACATGCCCACTGCGCACAAATGGGAAGAGCAGGTGGAGAAGGCTTTGTACCGGCCTTCGGCAGAGCGGATCCGCAGGATGGCATAGAGGATACAGATATAGGAGAGGAGAATGGTCACAAGGCTGATCACTACAGTGTAGCACATGGAAGCAATTAATGCAATCACAGTGGTACGGGTGTCAGAGCAGGAGAGAACCAGCAGTGGGAGGGAGTCGCAGTAGAAATGATGGATGATGTTGGAGCTGCAGAACGACAGCCGGAATATATAATACGTCAGTATCATTGCATCCACCAACCCCACAGTGCACACCCCAGCCACCAGCTGGTTACAACGCTGTCTGGACATTACGACCGTATAAAGGAGTGGGTTACAGATGGCCACGTAACGGTCGTACGCCATCACAGCCAGCAAGAAACACTCCATATCTACACAATGGACAAAGATATACATTTGCACAGCGCAGGCAGTGCGAGAAATGCTTTTCCTCTCGGCTAAGAAAATCTGCAACATCTCAGGGACAATCACTGAGGAATAGCAGAGATCAGAGAAAGACAAAATTCGGAGGAAAAAGTACATGGGGGTGTGGAGTCGGGAATCAATTGTGATTAACAAAATCATCCCCCCGTTGCCCATCAGGGTGATAACATAAATCAGTAGGAACAACGTAAACAGGGGGACATGCAACTCCAGACGGTCTGTCAGCCCTGAGAGTATGAATTCAGTCGCTTCTGAGTGATTTCCCTCTTCCATCTCCTCTGAACTGAGAATAGGGAGGTCCAGGGATGTGGGCAGGTGGATGGATCTGGGAACATGTCCTTTCACTGTTATGAAATAAGTGATGAAAAATGGAGGTCAGTTTCTTAATAGGTAGCAGTACGAGATCAGGGAAGGGCTTAGTTCAGAGAGCCAGATGTTCACAGCTGGACTTTGCACTTGTTTGATCAAACTACACACATTCAAGGACACTTATCTTAATCATCCATCACACACAAACCCTCCTGTTCTCTTTTCTGAGCAGTAAACAGCGAGTTGTGACTGTTGTGGGAGAATGAGGGTGTAACCATCTATATCTAATGAGATCATTAGCTCATGCAGGGCTGAGAGTAGAAGAGTGTCAGTCTCTTCACCCTCTTTGGGCCAGGGGAGATCTATAGCGTGGCATGTCGGTAGGGGGTGAAACTAGCTTACTGTGATGATGAAGCTCCTTAGCATCTGATAACGGCTCTTACATTACTCTGTATAAAACTCCTGAGACGAAAAGACAGAAAGACACCAGCTTCTGTGACTAATCGTCTATTTTCTCCAAGCAAATTTCTCATGCTTTACCTCAATAGGCAAGAGCTGGGACTTCTGTCAGAGACACTGTCTATGTGCAGGTGTGACTCTGAGGAAGGACAACAGCACGTACCTGCGGACAGCAGAGAGAGATGTGCTGGCGTTTCTCCATCAACAGAAACTGACACTTTGGTATAATTGGGACGTTTTATTCCGAGATCTGTGATCCATGGGAGAAGATCCCTAGAACTCCTGGGAATACTTGAGCTCAGAGACACGACAACAAATTAATGAGCTCAGTAAATCTCAGCCATGGGACTGATACCCTGGGGATTAATTTGGTGCCTTTTTTCCTCCTGCAGCAGTAAGTGATGCAATTTGCATCAAGGTTGCAGAGTCTAAGGGTGAGGGATATTTCATTCTGCTCTTATCACTGCAAGGTGGGTCCTGTGTAGAGCTGACCCAGAAAGGGTGTTTGGGGAAACCAAAATCTTTCAGCTGAAAACTTAACATTTCAACTCATTAACAAAACACACAGGGATGCCCCAGGTATCACATCCCACCTTCTCTGCCATGGGCCGGGCTCCCAGGCTGGCATCCATCCCTCTGATGCGTGATGGTCTGTCCTCCTGCCATACTGCCCTGGAACATTATTAGAGTTCCCATTCTTACCAATCTCTGACTGTGGGTTTTGCTATTGTGATGGGAAAGAATTCCATGGAAATCTAATTGAAATGAAAATACAACTTCGTACTTCTTATAAAGAAAAAATTTCCAGCTGCCCTGTGCTCCAGGTTTGGAAACAAAAACCAAAAAGGCCCGTCTCCAGATGTGGTCGGCCTGACTTCCGGTTTCCCTGCGGCAAGGACTGGTGCTTGGTTGTGCATGAAGGTGTAGATTTCAGGGAAGGTGCACCCTTGCTTATCCCCAGTAATTGGGTGGAGCTAACTCAAAGCCCCCTACTGGACAGCTATGGCCTTGCAACACCCTTCGTTATGGGAAAGAGCAGAAAGGTCCCACAGGCAAGTAGAAAGGCTTCTTCAAATGCAGCCGATCGGCACCCAATAAGGAAGTGTAGAGTGGCTGCTGGGCCAGGGCCAGGCAGTTAGTCTATGTATCTCAATGTAGGCAGGCCCAGGGAGGAATTGGGAAGGTAGCGGTACCTCGGATAGCTCCAAGAGGGGGCTGGTTTGAAGACTCAGCTGAAGCCTTGGTCCGTTAACGGAAAACCAGTCTTGTTGGGCTACAGAAAATTGGAGAACCCTGGACAGGATGCAGTGAGGACTTTATCTCAAAGGCCTGAAAGAGGACCCAGACAAGGCTTCTTTTTCTGATGATGAAGAGATGCTTAACATAGCGAATTCTAGTGGAAATGGGGTAGGTTTAGAAGATAAAATTTTTAAAAAGAACAAGTGAAAAATTACTTTGAAAAGTTAGATGTCTTCAAGACACCAAGGCCTGATGAAATGCATCTTAGAATACTCAAGGAGCTGATAGAGGAGGTAGCTGAGCCTTCCGCTGTCATTTTGAAAAGTCATGGAAGACAGGTGAGATTCCAGAAGACTGGAAATGGGCAAATCTAGGGTCCATCTATAAAAAGGGAAATAAAAACAACTCAGGAAACTACAGAGCAGTTAGTTTAATTTCTGTGCCAGGGAAAGA